ACCCTCGCACCAACGACCCACTCGTTGCTTCCCATTAGGATTCCACTTGAGCAGTAGCCTGCATTGCACGCGATGTCATTCAACGGTCTCCTCAGTGTATGCCCAATCCATCTCTATTTTCTCCTACATATTTGTTGAGCACTTGGCCCCTGATTGGTTCGTCGCCAGCCAGAGTTTCTTGTTACTAATTCTCTCTGGCTATTTGATCTTCATTATGGAGCCAGTAAAGTGGGCAGTTGTTGATAAAAGTTCGCAGTGGCCTGTTGTAAATCCTTTTCATGACGCGCAGTGCAAGTTTCTTACCCGTATAGAAGGACTGACTTGACATTTGTGTTCAAAATGCGAATCTTGTTGTTTATGCTGAATGCAGAAGATTTCCAAACTGGTTTCAGGTTGATGAAGGCAGTTTGGAAGGCAGTCCTAAATCGCTTTTGTTACTTATGCTAATCAGTTACAGCTACTTCTTGTGCAACACTGCTAAGTTATGAGGGAAGTAAATAAACTGTGTTTAAGTAAACATGTAATAAGATTGAAGGTCGATGAGAAAGGGATGAAAAATTGCAAATATCATAAATAAGGGATGTGGGTGGGGATACTGTCAGTTGGTTAGGTCTTGAATGGCCAAAGGAGGGAAAATGGCTGTACAAAACTTTCTGAATACATAGTTTTGGCTTCATAATTCGAATGCTAATCGCCTCAGTTATATGCAGTGGATGAATACGGAGTCCATTGGAAAGATTCGGTAGGATGTAATGATTCACCTTGAATACCTTTGTTTTTTTCCGCTAAATGGTAACTACCAAATAAATGTGACAAAACAGAGCTTCGGTTGGCCTTTGTCTGTGTTTTACCAAACCACGATAGGAAATATCCAGTGACGCATTGGTTAGGCTGTCTAGTAGTACGCCCAACATTACCGTCTGCATAGCAGCAGGTGCATTGGCAAATACACATAGATGTGGCAAAACTAGCTAGCTTATCCTTCTTCTGAGTCCAAATCATTCACCGACTAGAAAGTGAGAAAGGTGGGTTTGCTGTGTAAAATGTTCTCCATATACTTCTGGCTAGTCTCTGGAGTGAAATCCCACTTGACAAGTCCTCATTAAATCGTAACTTAATAAATAATTGTTTATACGAGTTGATCATGGATTGATATCAGTTAGAGAACCATTGAAAACCAGGGAGTACTGGACAGCTGCTGTTTCATCCTAATTTTATGGGAATCATCGGCAGTACGCACACACTGGGATTCAAACCCAGGACCTTCCGGTTACAAGACAAGCTCGGGTCCCAGTGGCTGAATGGTATACGAGCCAGCTTGCCTTGTAACCGGAAGGTCCTGGGTTCGAATCACAGTGGGTGCGTACTGCCGATGATTCCCAAACTAGGATGAAACAGCAGCTGTCCAGTACTCCCTGGTTTCCAATGGTTCTCTAACTGATATCAGTCCGTGATCAACTTGTAAAAACATAACAAACCCTTAAAACCAAACTATAGAAAATAATTGTTTACTCAATGTTGCCATCATCTCAGGTTTTCTGTCCAGTGTTTTCATATGTCTATTTATAAAACTACTCAGATAGTCCATCTCCGTCAAGGAATCATGAATCTTTCTTGCTGTCTCCATAAGAAACACATACTTAATTAGAGCAATGGTGCTATATAAAAGTATGAGTAACAAAGCACCAGGCAATCAATACCTAGGATTTAGAACATGCCAGAAAAAAAAGATTTAACCTTCTCTTAATACTGTCATTAACGAAACAAAACTCTTCAAAAGTCTTATTACGTCTGACAAGAAAATCTTAGGTTTTATTATTTCTTTTTGAAACCAGGGGCATGCATTTTGAATATTCACGTATCCAAATATACTCTTTGATTGATTTTGTCTTTGAATTGGCATTATTTTACGTTTACTTTGAAAAAATTTGTTACGTTGACAGAATGTATGTCTTTTATGTGCTCATATGGTTTTATTTATAGCTACAAATATAATTGTTACAATATGACTAAACGTTTTTTTTTACAATATTTGTCATTGTTTAATTGTAGAAATATAAGATAAGTTATCGAATGAACTGAGCAAATAACGAAACATGATATCTTCTCTTAGCTGATTTGTAAGCTGGCTATCTGACACATATGTGGAACTGGGTTTTTATTACACAGAGCTTCAACTATACTCCTCCATTTCACCTTGTATCAAGCGGTCCTCTCACGCTGACCCCCCCATTGACCATACGGTCTCATCTCCTCCTTACACAATCTCCTGTATATCACCCAACTTGTCATTTCCCATTCGGGTCCCACTCGAGCGATGGTCTGGCGCGTGATGCCTCCTAATGGTCTCCTCAGTATGTGTCTAATCCACCTCCATTTTACTTCAGTAGGTTTTCAGGTGATAGGTTCTTGATTCGTGTGTTACCAGATTTCATTGTTGTTTAACCGTTTCCAGTCATCTGATCTTCATTATGAGGCGAAGGCATTTGTTGCAGCAGGCTATCTGAAATGCTTTTGGTAACGCGTGGAGTGTCTGAAATATATGTAATAGCTGATACTACATGAGTGTGCTTAGTGCAGTAGATTCCCAGATTGATTTAGGAGATCAATAAATTCAAATGTTGGTTTGTAGGGATTTGATTGGTTACAGGATTTTCATCATGAGCTGACATTAGTTAGAGAACCATTGGAAAACCTGGGAGTACTGGACAGCTGTTTCACCCTAGTTTGGGACTCTTCATCAGTACGCACCTACCGGAATTCGAACCCAGGACCTTCTGGTTACAAGGCGAGCTCGTAGACCATTAAGCCACAGGGACCCGATCCAATGGCCAGTCCATGAATTCTAACTTCTGCCAATTCACGACATAGCGCGACCGCTAGCCAATGTCTTCGGAGAGTATTTGTCCCCACACCCGACCTGTTTGTTTGTTTGAGTAACCAGGATTGGATTATCCGACAAACATTCATTATTCAATGTATGAATTTACAAGTGCTGGTTTGTAGGAACTGAACTGATTTCAAGGTAGGCTATGGAATGAAATCACTGACAGAACTATTGGGAACCAGGGGGGAGTAAAGGAAAATGCTGTTTCGTTCTAGTACGTGTCCATGATCCATCTGGCGATCGAATTCATGACTTTTAGATAATGAGGCAAGCTTGATGACAGTTCAGCCACTGGGACAAAGTCCAATGATCCAATGCACCTATTAATAATATATTATATCTGAATGGGTATCTGATAGGCAGTGATATGTGATTAACTTAACAGATGAACTGATATACAACTGAAATCCAACATAGTTCACAAGTTCCACTTTTATATCAGTAAAATATGATTATTCAGGCTATCTGCATTCTGTTTGTCAATATTTTCTTATGTAATTTGAATATTTTAATTCATTGAAGATACCTATTAAAGACTGATTAGTGAACAAAGAATATTTTCCTCGATAAATTCGTCATCAGGTTCTGCAGCTTTATGGCTAGGGAACACCTACCAGTGTGGTTACATGAAGATATAGTTAAAACCATCAACAGTTTTGTATTGGATTACCTCGTCTGAACAGGCGACAAAGCTAGTGTTAAAGAAACTTCTATCATCTGTCGGGTATCGAGTACATTACCAGAGGTCCCTAGATGCCACCTCAATTCGCTTAAATCAACCAGAGCTCTGTGTACAAAAGAAACTTGTCCAGACACTGTTGATACCCTGACCCGCTGTCGAATCTATAAATTCATAAATTCTGTGTTACTTCCCTTAATTTATCTGATATTCTGTTGAATGTTATATTAATACACAATATCTCTCTCTTAAAGATGCTTCTGGAAGGTGATCAATCGATACTATTGATTCATTGTGATTTAAAACAGCAATAATATTGTTAATAAGAATGATTATTTAAAAGTTTGGTTTGTCAAGATTAGATTTGTGTATATGAGTTTAACCACGGATTGATATCAGTTAGAGAACCATTGAAAACCAGCCACAGGGAGTACTGGACAGCTGTTTCATCCTAGTTTTATGGGAATCATCGGCAGTACGCACCCACTGGGGTGGTCGCGCTAAATCACGAATTGATAGAAGTTAGAATTCATGGGCTGGTCATTGAGTCAGCTCCCAGTGGCTGAATGGTATATGAGCCTTCCTTGTAATCGGAAGGCCCTGGGTTCGAACCCTGGTGGTGGGTGCGTACTGCCGATGATTCCCATAAAACTAGGATGAAACAGCTGTCTAGTACTCCCTGTGGCTGGTTTTCAATGGTTCTCTAACTGATGTCAATCCGTGGTCAAACTCGTATAAATGATTATTTAATTATTATGGTCATATGAATGTAGAACGTGATGACGATTTTACCTAGGAGAATATTCTTTGTTCATTAATCAGTCTTTAAATTTGAATATTTCCATAATTTATTCCAAATAAGAATAATTACAGAGAATAGCTGTTTTCAACGAATTCTTCTTCAGCTTCTATAATTTTAAACCCATTAATTTTAGCATACAATTAACCAGTAAAGGTAAATTAGCATTATACCAAAAAAGTGTATTATGGTACAAGTACAAGATGAAATTGTGACAAGTGCTACTGATAAGATTTATCAGTAGTATATAAAGAAACGTTCATCGGCATAAAAAACATCAAATAGCAGGGAGATAGATAGATTTGATGTCAGAGAAGGCAAATGATACAGCGTTGTGGAGATACATGGAAGACAACGTGAAAGGAACACAATGAAACAAAATATTAAGGAAGTCCAGAAGTAGCACAACACGGAAGATCGGTGCAAATGGTGTGTTGAAGATAAGGTGTGCATAATTTCGCTATATAAAGACACGAATATCCATTAAACGTTCCTTAACCAAGTCTCGCGTCTTCTATCGTTTCAGAATGATATTTATATTGAAATTTCATTCCAATCATCTACTTTACAACGCATTACAATTTCTCATCTCATTTTGCACTAATCAATTTTATTTTGCCTATTTTATTTGCCAGGAATATGTCGACGGTAAGTAAGTTTGACGAGAAATGTTTTACTTAAAGTATAACACATAAATTAAAAGTCAATCTGAACGAAGAATATTCTTTTCAATAATTTCTCCCCTCTTCACGTTCTTACAATTATAAAATATAATGCATTTGTTGTCGTGACAATAATGATGGCCAGTTAGTTATGCGGCGGATACATTTTTTACGTAGAATAACAGACTAATAGTTATGGGGTGTCAAAATAAATAGTCGTATTTGTGTGACAGACGTCGTGCTAGGCTGAAATCGATTACAAAATATTGTTAAATGGGAGACAATTGTGGTGATTAGTCATAATCGATTTGTGGAGTGTCGGTCAGGAAAATTGATAAGTCAGTTCAATGTTAGAGAAGGTGTCAGGTGAGTGAGTGGTTAGTACAAAGTGTTCTCTATTAAAGAGAGATAGTAAGACAGAAATGAGAGGTTATGGGGAAGAAGCACTCTTGCTCAGAAGAAGAATTATCAATCCAAGTTTGCCCACCGTGGGAACAGAGGCTGAAATGTTCTTTTTAGGATACAAAGTTCCGGTTTAGTCAATCTTATTGCAACAGCTTCAGCTATGTGTAGGAGACGTAAGCGAACTGTACGTGATAACGACTTCGGAATTCGGTATATAACCCTGAAAGCTGTGTTGACATCGATGCGATGTCCAGTATCGACCAAATGTAACAGGATCGAGCTTTTCATGCACTTAATTTCCCCCCTGCTGAACCAAGCTGATAAATGTTCTTGAACCCGTAGACGTACCTGCCTAATCGTGCACCCTATATAACTTGAACCACTGTCTCCCATTTAACAATATTTTGTAATCGATTTCAGCCTAGCACGTCTGTCACACAAATACGACTATTTATTTTGACACCCCATAACTATTATTCTGTTATTCTACGTAAAAAATGTATCCGCCGCATAACTAACTAGCCATCATTATTGTAACGACAACAAATGCATTATATTTTATAATTGTAAGAACGTGAAGAGGGGAAATTATTGAAAAGAATATTCTTCGTTCAGATTGACTTTTAATTCATGATATGGGAATATTTCACACTATTAAATCTAATAACACATAACTCTGATGACATGATCAACTTCTCTAATTATCCGTCTGATTTAGTTTGTAGTGGATGTACTGCAGCTGTGTTTTCCTTGAAAATGATTCTACATCTTGAAACGGTGGTGTATTATGTCAATGTAATAATTGATCAGTTGTGTGTATTTGTTGGACCCTATTCATCTGAAGTAAGTTAAGCATCTGTGACTAAAGGTTTTAAACGTGAATATTTAAAAATACCAGTTGTATGTATGTATTGTAGGTGATCTGAGTTATAGATTGTATTTAACGATGTAATGTTGTTGTATATAGCATAGTTCCAAGGGATTTTCAAGTGTTGGTTTGTAAGGATTTGATTGGCTACAGGATTTCATCATGAGCTGATATCTGTTAGAGAATCATTAGAAAATCTGGGAGTATTTGGACAGCTGTTTCGTCCTAGTTTGGGATCAACTCTTCAAAAGTAGGCACACACCGGGGTTCGAACCCAGGACCTTCCGGTTCAAAAGGCGAGCTCGCATACCATTAAGCCACTGGGACCCGATCCAAAGGCCCATGAATTCTAACTTCTGCCAATTCGCGACATAGCGCGACCCCCTAGCCAATGTCTTTAGCGAGCAATTGTCCTCACACCCAACCTGCTGCGCCCTACTAGTCATAACTTCTCACTTCCAAGGGATTTTTTTTGAAAATTTCAGGTTTTAGTTCATTGAACTGAGTTGGTGAGCCTCTATTGGTATATGGGATCTATGTGTGAACTCCCCAGTATCATACTTAGTGACACTATCAGTATAAATTTAATAATTCAAGTTTATCAAATATCCCCATTCGAACATTATTAGAGAGAAGACTAGTAGTTTAGCGAAGAGTCTCTTTTCGCCGAATTCATTTTCACAGCCGTACAATTGCAAATATATATGTGGTTGTTTTGTATGCGTGTGTGTGCACATTAAATTTGTCAAACGAAAATACAATTAGTAAGTTTTTGATGGAGTTACGTAATAAAAAACGTATTCAGAGGAATTGGATGTTGATATAAGAGTGTAGTAACAAAAGTGATGAGTTGTCTCAAACGATTGATAATGAAGAGTTACGTAATAACATGAGTAGTTTGATGGAAAAGTTGTGCATTAAAACAAAATAAAATACGGAATTACTTAATAGTTTTAAAGGAATACAAGAGTTTTACGTAGTTAGAAAAAGCAAGTAAACGAGCAAAACTAATCACTTAAAACTCTCGTACTGCTTTAAAACTATTAAGTAATTCCGTATTTTATTTTGTTTCAATGCCCACCCTGAGCACAACTTTTCCATCAAACTATTCATGTTATTACGTAAATCTTCTTAAACAATCGTTTGCGACAACTCATCATTTCGTGATTTCGTGATCATAAAAATTATCAGATAACAAGTAGTTCTATTCAGTGTCTGCTTCAAAGGTCAGCGATGTTGATAATGTAATTCTCAGCAATAAGTTCATTCCTAATTTTAAAGTATTCAGTGATCAATGATTTCAATGGGTTTAGAAGTTCCAAATACAGTAAAACAAACTGATTAAAGTTATTATTTTAATCATTTTAAAACAAGATACAACATTTTTTAAAAATCACATTAAATTATTTTAATTTTCAGTGTACATTTGTTGCTCAACACTATGCTAGTATATTGATAGATTTGCTTGAAAATTCAACAGCTCCTCGAATTTGTCAGGTAAGCAAACATTTTGTACTTCAACATGACTTTATATTCATTTACTTATGTAAAGTATTTTGATGTGGTTGTGTTCACTGAGCTGGATAGTTAATTTGCGAAGCTTTCATCGCCCTACTAGGCGACATCTTCAGCGCATACTTCAGTTTGAAGTGAGCTTTTAGATTTCTCCACGAGTTTATTAATCATCTCTCCTGGTGACCTTGGACGTGATTGGTTGTTTGGGAACGGATTGTTTCTTTGACTTGAACTTTGGCCTTTTGTGTGTGAGGTTCCTTTCTTATCGGTTGATAAATTCTGTTTATCTCGATGTGTCTATTGATTGATGATTCACTGGAATGCCAGGCTTCTAAAAATTCTTCGGCATTCTTGTTTTTTCCTCTGTCTAATAGTTGAACGTTGTCCCAGTCGAACTGATGTCTGTGGTTGTCTGTATGTAGTGATATGAGGGAGTGAATATCATGTCTTTTGACGGCTAGCTTATGTTCGTGGATACGAAGACGAAGGGGACGTCCACTTTGGCCAATGTAGTGTTTTTTGAAGTTGTTACAATTTATTTTGTAGATGACGTTGCTTTTAAATAAAAAGCTCTAAAAGCTCACTTCAAACTGAAGTATGCGCTGAAAATGTCGCCTAGTAGGGCGATGAAAGCTTCGCAAGTTAACTATCCAGCTCAGAGAACACAAACACATTAAAATCATCCACCTGAGCTACAAATCTTCTCTATCATATTATGTACAATATACCAAGTACCTACTTTCATGGTACCTATATAACTAATCTATAACTCTCCTCTAAAGCGGAACTCTGATTAGTGGGATTGATGTCAGTTATAGCACCACTGAAAACCAGGTTCTTCAACTGATATAAATCTGTGATCAAACTATAAACACAAATCAAACTCCTAGAAACTAACTTTTGAAAATTAATCTGATGCTGACTATTGACTGGCTACAGGATGAAGTTTCTTGGAGTTCTAGTGAGAATTCGTGACCAGTGCCCTCCATCAGGTCGCGCATGGAGACAAATATTCACTGATGACATTGACGGGTGGTCACGTTATAATCACCAATTGGTAGAAGTTAGAATTCATGGCCCAATGAGTCAGGTCCCAGTGTCTGGATGGTGACTAGGAGGTCCTGGGTTCGAACCCTAGTGGGTGTGTGCGTACTCCTAAAAAATTCCAAACTAGGTGGTAACAGCTGTCCAGTACTCCTGGTTTTCAATGGATCTCTTACTGATCTTAGTCTATGGTCAGACTGGAAACAAATCAGATCCCTGAAAAATATCTCTTGAGCATTTTTTGTTGGTAACTGAAACTATTTTAAGCGCATTGCAAAATATCAAAGTGTGTGTTGATAAAAGGTGAAAAGATGTTCACAACTGAAATCTAAGTCTTGAAATTCCTTCTGACTGGCCGCTAATAATATAAACTCGAAGTACATCGGATTTCTGTCTCACCTATTTGAATGGTAAAACCACTGGGTCATTCAACAAGCATTAAACAAGTTAAGTAGGATGGTAAAATTTTGTTTTCATACCATTAAGCATTTAGACAGTACTGAAATACCTTTGTGGACTTTCTACATGCTTTTACGACTGAAAATGATATTTGAAATAATACAGAAGATTTGTAGCTCAGGTGGATGATTTTGATTTGGTTGTGTTCTTGTCTGAGCTGGTTGATTTAATTGCGAAGCTTTCATTGACCCCCTTCTAGACAACATCTTCAGAGCACGCTTTATATTAAAGGAGTGCGAGACAACTACAGCTTACCAAGGGGACCAAAGAACAAAATCTGGGCATTATGATATTGAGTGGTGGGAGGCAATCGGCAGGAAACCCAGTCTTGGACCTAGGTTTCGTGCTAGTTGGCACTCACCAATCAGCAAGGCGTCTCTGCAACCTCGAAGGAACTCATGTCCCTTCTGAGATTGAAAGCCGCGTCACCCAGCAGTGCAGTCAGAGACGTTATCACTGAGCTGTTCGGGCTTGCGACTGGCCTCCTATAGGACTGCATTGGATAGTTTGATTGGACACTAATAACTAGTATGATGTGTCTAGTCCACCATTGTTTTGGTGCAGACTGAATTCTATCAGTCAGTTAGGTTTGCAATGTGGCCACCATCCTAGGTAGCTCGCCATCACGGTGCACATCACACTAGTTACTAGTGTCCAATAAAAGTATCTACTACATTTCTACAGGAGTTCAATCGCAAGCCCGAATAGCTCAATGGTAACGTCTCTGACTGCAGCACTGGGGGACGCGGGTTCGGATCTACGAAGGGACATGGGTTATTTCGAGGCTGCAGACACGTCCTGATTATGAGTGCCAACAAGCAGGAAACCTAGGTACAAGGCTTCTTCCCTAAAGCCTCAAACCATCTAATATCATCAAACCAATGTGCACTGTGATGGCGAGCTACCTAGAATGGTGGCCACATTGCAAACCTGACTGATAGAATTCAGTCTGTACCAAAACAATGGAGGACTAGACATTAGTTACTAATGTCCAATCAAAATAATCTGAGCTTATTTTCAACATCTGGACTTCGGACATTCCTTCATATGATGTTTTCTTCATTTACTGATACAGAAGGTGTAAATCTGTTGAATGAGAGCTTACATTATTTTGAGGAAATAGCTCAGTGTATTATGACAGAATGAATAGCCCATAATATGAATTCCATTGGTTGCTTTATGTTCTCAAATATTTTCAGTATTTAGTGTAATGGTGTTCTGTGGTTAAAGTTAGCTTCAGTCACAAGAATCCACTATGTCTCATTATACCTAGTAACTTTGCATACAGCACTTCACTTAATACTTGAGGATTGATCTGTTATTCCAAAAGTAGTACTACATCATAAACAGTGACAACGCATCAGCATTCAGCTAGGGGCTTTTTCTGTGGGAAGATACAAATTTACATGGGCACAAGAATCCTGCGAAAACAATATGTTATTTAAGTTCTTCTGGCAACTGCCTAATAGTAACATGAATTTCTTGGTCTTTTGGTATCTTGTGAAAATATGGTTCTACGATAAGCAGAATTCCGCCTTCATCAGCCAGGCGTATATATTTTATAGTCATCCCTATCATCAAGATCAAATTTTTGAGATTTTGGTTTGAATTTGTTTGATCCGTTTTGTTGGAAGTATTTTTAACACGTTGTACTGCGCTGCACAAATGATTTGAGAGTAGAATTGGAGTTTCTTCCTTCCGTTAAGATCTCATGTTAGGAAAACAAGTGTTTTTCTACCACCTCTCTAATTATACTTTTGCATAAATCCTTTGCAGCTAACTGGAATATTAAGAATATAAGTTATATGTTATCAAACGAAATGAGGTAGTACTACGCTGTTCAGTACTCCCAGGTTTTCCAGTGGTTCTCTAACCACCGTCAGCTCATTATGAAATCTTGTAACCAATCAATCAAGTCCGTATAAAAACCAATACCTGAATATCAATGAGATGCTCACTAGCTACTGGCCCTATTCAGGTAGGTAGTTACCTGGATTCTAGTAGGAAGTCGTGAACAGTAGGGTGTAGCAGGTCGGGCGTGAGGACAAATACTCGCCAAAGACGTTGGCTAGCGGTCGTGCTATGTCGTGAATTGGCAGAAGTTAGAATTCATGGGCTGGCTGGGCATTGGATCGGGTCCCATTGGCTTAATGGTAAGCGAGCCCGCCGTGTAACCAGAAGGTCCCGGGTTCGAACCCCTCGTGGCGGGTGCGTACTGCTGAAGAGTCTCAAACTAGGCGGACGGAACAGCTGTCCAGTACTCCAATGGTTCTCTAACCGATGTCTGCTCATGATGAAATCCTGTGGCCAATCAAGCAAAATCCCTACAAACCAATACTTGAATTATCTCATTTTTATCCCATGTTTCACGCTTTATGAACTGTCACCTATCCCAATTTTCTTTGCATTTCCGCTGTTTATGTGCTTGTCACCTAAATAAGCATTTATCCTACCTTTTGAAGGCAAAGCATTTTACATTTTGACCTGTTTTTTTCTCCAGATGACACAACTTTTACAGAGTGCTTTCTTCTGATTCTTCTTTTTCAGAAATGGAGAATGTGTTAATCAAAGAAAACGAATGGGAATAGAATTGTGTTCACAGTGTCTTAAACTGAAAATTAAAGCAATTAAAAATATTTGTTGAATATTTTACGCATTCTCTGGACAAAATTTTGTCATGAGAAAAAAGTAACTGGTTATTGTTGTTTCACAGACATTGTAGTTAAAGTGGCTGTAGGATTATTTTTATCCTACAGATTTAGTCCTCCCTCAATACTGACAACACAGAGTCTGGGCTTAGAAATAGTTAAAACAGAATAACTTGACTTTAACTTTATCTGTTTCTAAAACATAAAATAAACCATACAGTTACACCAAGAAAAATGTACAAATCCATTGTCATTACAAAAAATAGGACAAAAACGTACCGGACAGTATTGAAGGTACGGACAAAATGAACAGTCAGTTAATTACATGTATATACAAGTAAAGTGACAGACAAAAAAGAACATTCAAGGTCATCACGTGGTGAGAGTTACAATAAATCGACCAATAATCGCGACAAAAAAGGTCACATAATATTGATTGGCTGTTTATCATACAGTCTATCTATCTGTCGCGATTAACACTCCCCGCGAACGACCACCACGTTGACCTTTCGTACGCTTCTTATATCTTGTTCCATTTCTTGAGTTGAAGTTTTCAAACACAGCGTCCTGACGTGGCCATCTTGGTCATAGTACATCTGCTTAACTATAGCCTTTCGCCAGAGACCTCTCTGTGTGTCAGCACTGTTAACTAAGACGAGATCATCAGGTTGTAGGTTGTGCTTTATATCCAACCACTTAGATCTTGTTTGCAGCATCAGAAGATATCCACGTAGCCATTTATGCCAGAGCAAATCAGTCAAATATTTTGGAAGTAGTTGACTATAGTGTTGGGAGAAAGCATATTCATACATAGCATTCGCTTTACCTTTGTAATATTGTAATTTTCTTAAGAATTCACCAATTGCTGAACGAGCCGCAGTTAAAGGCCTTTTTGGAACTAAGGAAATACACAAATCAAATGCATCGTCCTCACCGACTACTTTATGTGTACGTCCCATAGAATCGTCAGCTTCAATCAAAACTTGCAGAATCGCATAACGAGCACAATAATGTGCTTGACACCATGATCCAATGTCATCAGCATTTTCTCCTGCAGAATAAATCTCCATGGAAGTTACAGCTGAAGGAGACATTGACAACCAATTAATATAGACTACATCTGAGACATTGCCTTGAGCACAGTTGGTATTCAGATCGAACTGCTCCAGAACAAGAGGTAAATCAGATAAATAAGTTCCAACGCACTCAGCTCGACACTTATCTATTGCAGATGGAAGGTTTGGAAACTTGCTGTCATACGTTTCTCCTGGTTCACACCAACTTTTTACAGGACCTCCATTTATGACATATTCAGTAGTTTTCGTGTGGAAATTTCGTTTTCCATAAGAATCACGCCGAAACAGTTTACCTGAACTATATCCCATCAGTTCATGAAGTCCAACTTGTAATTCAAAGGAACTTTCAGCATGTTCCACGTACATTTGTTTGTCTTCATTACGTAGAAATTCTGGTTTAGGATCCTCGAGACGAACACTAAGTACATTATCCAAAGAAACATTTTTAAATCCATCAACTTGTCGTACATCATCATAGTTAGGAGTATTAGTTCCAACAGGAATCCCAGCAATTGCAAACGTAACCACATTCAAACTAGTAAAGTCTGGCTGTGAGAAATTAACTTTTTCAAACGTAGAAGGCCATGGTAAACTTGTTAACAACCTTTCAGCATTATTTACAAGTCGTTGGAAATTTTTAGACACTGATCTATTTACAACAGCGACAAATGATTCAAACCTTGCACGAACACCAAAGGGATCACGGTACGACTCGATAAACCCAACATAGTTTTCAACAACAGGGTTCTTATCTTTAACACATAACCTGAAGGCATCTTTGTGAGTGGCTACTCAGCCAGTAGTGAAGCTTTCAGCATACTGATGCCACATTTCTGATTCGATTTGGTTAAGCGAATGTGCTTTAAAATCTTTACAACAATCGACTAGTAACTTCATCAGCTCACTATAGTCACCATATTCAAGCTGCAAAGATATGTCCGAGGGAAGGGCATCTCTTAACTTCTCACGACGTTGACTTAGAGGGATTTGCAGGTCATGGTAACGTTGGGCTAACTGTCTTTGTTTTTCTTGGATAATAGGAGCGTCGAAATGACTTTCTGCAGCAAGCGTGTCAGCCTGGACTTTGAATGTATCTATACGTTCACGATGAGCAGCTACATCAGATTCAAGCAAGTTGTGCCGCTTTTGTGCGTTGATCACACCGTTTAGATCACGATCGACATTCTCTGAGGCTATCTGAGCTTCAACATCATTCAACCATAACTCGACATCTTCTATGTTGCGAGCGAACTGTTGTTGCCTACTTGCTTGATCTAAATTTTTCTTCTTGTCTCCCATGGCATTTACGAGATGAGACCAAGTTTCATCCAACTGTTCAATCTTTACTTTTATTTCTAGTGAGTTGTAGTGGTTTGCATGTAACAAATCCTGACCTGTCTTTTTAATATCTTCAACGCGGGATTGGTTCGCTTGTATTTCTGCCTCAAAACTCTGATGCTTCTGCATTTTTGTTTGCAAATTCGTGGAGTCTTTGTAACTTTCACCAAGTGCATTTCTAAGTTTTCCTGATATCCATGACAGCATTTTATCTGCATCTCTATCGAACATTTGGTAACGGTGGGAATCTTCAAGACGCTGACGGCGGTTCTGAGCTTTCTCCTTTAATGCATTTCGTCTATTTTGAAGACCTTTCTGAATCTCATGAACCTGTGCAGCCGCATAGTGGTTTGATTCGATTAATTTTGCAGCGAATTCATCAAGTTGTCGCGTCTTTTCTTCTTGTTCTAAAAGTGACTTTTCGAAGTCTTCATGTTTCCTTATAAGTGCTTCCACAGAATCGAATGAGTCTCCCACATCTTTTGTTTCTAAGAGGGCCTCTTGCTTGCCAATCCAAGATTCCGACTGTTCAGCGTCGCGGTAAAAATACTGAAGGCCCATACACTGTTCTAGCTGTTCACGTCTTTCCTCACACAACTGCATCAAGGAGGCTCTCTCTCTTTCAAGGGTGGAAAGTTTAGCAGCTATGTCTCCATTACAGGGATGGCCAACACTTAGTAATGCCTGACCTTCTTGCATGCATGTATCGAAACTTTCAGCTCGAGAATTTATTTCAGCGGTGTATTCCTTATGCCGTTCTACTTGGGCTTCAGCACCAGCTGCATCCTTTGCGAAATCATCCGCCGATATTAACGTCTTCATGTCATTCATCCAGATACTCACGTCTCTCCAGTCAGCCAAAAAGCGATGCATCTTGAATGACTCTTCCAGTTTACCTCTCCTATCTACAGCCTGACTTTTCAGCTTATCCCATGCAGTAATTAATTCGTCATACTTGCCTTGTATAGTGTCTTGCGAATCAGGATGCTTCTGTGCAAGCGCCTTAGCATCATCTCCAAGTTGAACAATCTTTTCATCTAGGGCAGTCAAACCCCTTTCTAATGCTTCGTGCTTCATTTGCAAGGCTTGGATTGAGGCAAGATCACGACCACAGTCCTCAATGGATAAAGGAATGGACTTTTCATTCACCCACGATATAGCTCTATCTATGTCTCTAAAGAAGCACTGTATCTCATAGGCTTCCAGGAGCTTTTCTTGTCGTTTCCTAACCAGATCCTTCAGACGTTCTAGAGCTTCGCGGACCTGTCTGAACCTTTCTATGACTAGGGCATCCTCAGGAAATTTCTCTTTTAGAAGTTCATCTGCCTTCCGATAGATGTCTTCGACACGACTTTCTTGATTTTCGAGATCTTTTGTAAACTCATTAAACCCTTTTTGAAGTGTCTCAACATCTTCCAAGTCTTGACCTAAATCCTCTGACGTTACGTAAGTTTCGTTTTCACGTATCCAGAAAAGTATTTCGTCGACTTGGCGTAAAAACTGGACAAATTTAAGCTTTAAGTTAATGACACTGGATTTTTCTCTGAAAATAGCCATAAGCCTTTCCCACAGGGCATGCAATTCATCAAGACGGTTTTTGATAATATCTGTTGCGTAGTGTCCCTGACCAATCATTTCTTCTCCCGTAGAATCTAGAGCTGAGAGTGTTTCAGCATGAACTGTTACTTCGAACTCAAACTCTTGATGTTTCTGTTTTTTCAGCTGAAGATTACTCAGTTCTTTAAAATTCTCATTTGTATATGTTTGCAATTTTTCATTGATCCAACACTCAAGTTCATCGGCATTCCACTTAAAATATTGATATGCTTTAAGCATGTCCAGAAACTTAGATATGGTTCTGGCGGACTCATCATTAGGAGATACAGAGACTTTATGAGAAGTAGAAGGTTTGTAAGGCGATTTATTGTGACAAGAACATTCGCGACCAGCTTGCCGTAATCTTTCTAGTTCCATTTCCTTCTCTTTTTGGACTATGCGCAATTTCGCTAGCTCCAATTCTACCATATAGCGTGATTCATACTCGTTGCTTCCAAGGAAATCAGCTTCATTACTCTTTCCTAATTGTGGAGTTAACGACGGCATAGTTTCATAACTTTCATCTGACATGCTGTTCGAAACTTTCGTCTGTATTACTGTTCGAAACTTTCCTTTGCAGTACTGTCCGAAACTTTGTAGGATTATTTTTATCCTACAGATTTAGTCCTCCCTCAATACTGACAACACAGAGTCTGGGCTTAGCAATAGTTAAAACAGAATAACTTGACTTTAACTTTATCTGTTTCTAAAACATAAAATAAACCATACAGTTACACCAAGAAAAATGTACAAATCCATTGTCATTACAAAAAATAGGACAAAAACGTACCGGACAGTATTGAAGGTACGGACAAAATGAACAGTCAGTTAATTACATGTATATACAAGTAAAGTGACAGACAAAAAAGAACATTCAAGGTCATCACGTGGTGAGAGTTACAATAAATCGACCAATAATCGCGACAAAAAAGGTCACATAATATTGATTGGCTGTTTATCATACAGTCTAT